TGGGTTTGATCCCTGGCACACACAACACACACACACACATGCACAATATATTGTGTTTTTTGTTTTTCTGCTGGTAAATATTATATACAAGCAGAGAAGATAGGATAAAAATGGTAGTGAAATATTTGTGCTGTAAGATTTTGACGTTGTTTTATTTGTTTACTTTGTTTTTTGAGACAGGATTTCACTATACTGCCCAGGCTCATGTCAAATTCCTGGGTTTAAGGGATCCTCCTGCCTCAGCCTTCTGAGTCACTGGGACTCGTGGTGCCTGAAGCCATGCCTGGGTAAGATTTTAAATACCTATTTCCTCTTGTTTAAAAGTTCAAAGTGAAACTGAATATTTAGTAGGCAGGAAAGTGTTTTGAAGGGTGTGCAGTGGTGTTGGGCTGCCGCACTAGACTCGGGGAAAGCCTTTTTCGTTACATTAGGCCCCTCAAACCTCTTTGAAGCTATTAAAAAATCTCCCAAGAAGAACCTGTAAAATAAAACCTAATCAGTACTGTTATGGTTTGGGGGATATTGTGCAAGGCAAAACAATATAACACAGGACACATATTCTATAAGATTATTTATAATAGTCACCCAAAGAATGATATACAAAGAGTGCAGGAAATCTGTCCACACACTAAGACCAAGAAATCTAGCCGAGAGCCTGGGTCCCACAGAAATGTCCTGAATGAGTCCCGCGGAAGACCTAGAGCCCATAACAATGCCTCCCAGGAGTCCACCTGGAGGCCCAGAGCCCAACAACGGCTCACACAGGCCTGTTTCATGGATCTGTGCTGGAGCCAGAAAGTGACGCTCAGAAGAACCAGAGCTCCCCCGAAAGGTACCACAGCCATCCTCAGCAACAGTGAGGTCCAGAGCTTCTCTGATGATCAAGATGGCCGAGTTCCCATCAGGAAAGCCAATGAGACAAGCTTCTCCAGGAGACCAGCAGTGGACCATCTTCCCCTCTAGAGCCAGGAAACGATGCTCAGAGTGAGGACCAGAGCTCCCCCAAAGTGAACTGAAGCTATTCTCAGTGCCAACAAGGTCTTGAAGGGCTGGGGATTTAGCTCAGTGGCACAGCGCCTGCCTGGCAAGTGCGACATCATGAGTTCAATTCCTGGTACCGGAAAAGAAAAGACCCCTAAAAAACAAAACAAGGTCCTGAGCTCCTTGGAGGATGAAAACAGCCAAGTTCGTCAGGAAAGCCAGC